GTAGTCTGAGTCCTGGTACAGACGTTGCAAGAACAGGGACTCTGTCAGCAGTTTCCGTCTAGTATGAGCTCTTTCACGCAGGGCATCTCTCCGAGCCAAAAGCTGCAAAGCCATGAGAAAACTCACTGTCAGCAGAGCCAGACAGGGATGCATGAGACTCACTGCCCACCCTGGCCTATGCTCCCAACACTCCCTGATGCCAGTGCACAGCAGGCAGGTAGAGGCTCTGGCCTCTGGACATACCCCGTCACGGATAGTAGCAATGTTCTCTGAATCATAATGATCATGCTCAATCAGTCTGGTGGCTGTCTCATCTAAGGTCTAAAGAAAATAAAAATTAGAATAGTATTCCTTTAGTGACAGCTGAGTAAGTATCACAGTTCAAGAAAAACATAGAAATATAGGAAGAAGACAATTTTCAGGCTCAAATATTCAAATCCCAGTTATAATTTCCTTATCAACTGCATTTGAAAATATATGCCTTATGCATGTTACTGACCTCCATTGTACCACAGTATTTTTCAAATATTTTTTATGTCACTATAAGTTGAATATTTTATCTACTCTTAAATCTTTTAAGAGGAAGCAGTATCAATGACACTCAGGTTCAATGGTCATCTATTCTTTTTCTCAATTAAGTATCAGATAGATAGATAGATAGATAGATAGATAGATAGATAGACAGACAGACAGACAGATAGATAAATATACAGGGCTGCATCTACATCTCTGAGAAAGATGAGTCAGAAAATATAAAGATGTATTTTTACTCACATTTGTTCACAAATTTCCCAAATTGTGACAGCTCAGAAATGGATTGATTTAGAGAGATAATCTAAAACAAGTAGTACTATACAATAATCACACTGTAAGCATTTACCAGTGGGAACAAACAGAATAAGCATATAGTTCGATGAGGGACCATACTGTGCTCCACACTGATGAAAAGGAAAGATGTGGAATTTTCCATTTTTATTACTGCCAATGGTGTGTGTGTATGTGCATAAGCATGAATGTGACTATTTAAAGTCAGTGTCATATCCCAGGAGACAGAAAAAGATCCGTGGAGTCTTCTTCAAATTTCTTTGGTATAACTCAAGTTGACCGAAAAAAAAACTCTGTTAATAGCATTAAATGAGAAACACAGAGATGAAAACATTATAAAGGAATGCCTACCATAAGAGAAAAGAATATATACCAGTAAGATACTTAGATATTATGAGAGAAAACTACATTAAGATATTACTAGACAGGAAAAGCAAAAAACATATTTCAAGTGTTTACCTAATAATTATTTATTAATAAGAAACTATCAATTTTATTTATTAAATTTTAAAGAGCAAAATATAAAATTATAAAAATAACAGCAAAATTGAATTTCAAAACTTTAGTAGGACAGTTACAGTAGTTGATAATTGTGTATTGTTGCCTTGGTAGTACTGATTCAGAGTGTAAACTATAGGCAAGATTTCTAGTCCAAAAAATACATAATTTTATTTATATTTTGGAAAAAAATAAAACATGTGCAGGACCTTGTCAAAAGAACTAATGCCCTGACATCTTGAAAATCTTTCAAATATGCTTTGGAGAAAAAATAAATATATTGATAAAAATGGTACAATTATTTTTCTGTCTTATTTTACTAAAAAACAGTACTGATTAAATTTTGTCTTTCAAACAAATTTGTATTTGTAAAAATAGGTCAAAGTACCTTTAAAATCCACAAAAATATCCCTGGCAACAAAACATGGATGAAGGGGCCAGGGAGATGACTCAGTAGAATAAGCGCTTGCCTGGCAAGTGCAAGGGCCTGTGTTCAATCCCTGGTTCTGCCAATAAATAAATAAATAAATAAATAAATAAATAAATAAATAAAATAAGAACAAAACACGGATGAAACTTTATGGAGAATAATCTCCAAACTGTGATATATTGGATGAAGTTGTACATACAAGCAGGAAGCCCATGCCCCATCCCATTAGAAAGTCCCATTTCTCACTATGATCTTCTCTTCCTGGGCAGTAAAGGCTTCCTCAAAGTCATCATGCTTCTGAAGCAGGGCTTCTAATTCCACTGAATTTCCTAAGTCTTCATTTTCCAGGAAGGCCTATGAAAGAGACAAGGAGACATCCCACAGGTCTTCACTGGTAAGAAATATTTCTTTTGGAATATGACGGAGGCAAGGACTAAAGGATGTAGGCAAGAGAATTTTACAGCTAGGTAAGAATTAGCATAAATTAAAATACTATGTAGAAATTAACCTCAATAAACATAAGCTTTATACCTGCTTCCCAGTATTTGAACATAATTTTCCTTCCTTTCTACACATCTATTTGCATGAAACTCAATCAATCTAGGTAATATGTTGAGTTCTCAAAACTGCCTCAAGAGAAACACAATCTCCTCCAAGAAATCTTCTCTGATTAACACTGCCTGACTGGTTACATGCTTTTTCTTTCTGACTCTTTATCAGTTTGACATCTATTTGCCTCACGTTCACTTATGGTATATTCCTGTTTCTATGTATTATAATATCTTTCTTGCCTTTGCCCATGAGACAACTATAGATGCCTTAGAGAGAAGGTTATCTTTTATGTCATGAGTCATTTTCCAACTCCCAGAATAATCTTCAGCTCAAAGACTGGTGGGGAAGGTAAAGGAGAAATAGGAAAAGAGGTCTCTGAAGTCTGGGTGGACCCTCTGTTACCTCTTGCCTGCTCATCCAACTGTCCACTTGCTCACGGTCTCGGCAGAAGAGGTGAAAGTCCAAGCACTGCTGATACTGTTGCTGACGCTCCTCCCACAGTGCATTCAGGGCAACCCAGTTGTCGGCAAGCGTCTTCATCTGTTCAAAGAAGACATGTAATTAATTTATTGGATTCTGTATTTACTGAGAAGTTAATAAATCCAAAGCCTTTTGGACGATAGGAAAATGGTAGGCAACAATGCTTTTAGTTTATAGTTTCAACAGTTAACCAGATGGTTTCAGCACACCAAAAATGTGACCCATAAAAGAGGCATACCATAATTTGTATACATAAAGAAGGAGAAAAGGATTAATTCAGGCAGGAAAAACTAGAAGTAAAAACCTGGGAAACTATGAGAAGTTTAGTATCAAATAGAAATTTAAAGAGGGAGTAACATTAGGGCTGTAGGAGAACATATTACCTTGAGCAAATGGTATTATTGGGATCCAAAGTAATTGTTAGATGATGCAATATCTCCAGAGAAAAAAAGAAATATCTTAAAATGGGTAGATACTTCATTAAGTTTAATTTCATGGAGCACTTAAAAGTGAGGCTAAAAAAAATCTTTTTTTTTTTTTTCTGAGCAAGTATTGGCCAAGAAGTTTCAGTTTATCATAGCAATTCCTCTTAATAACATGAAAAAATGTATAAAATTCTGAGAATCCGAGGATAATAATGATCATGGTGGCGATGATAAAGATAGTCACAATGGCTAAGTCTTCAGAGTCTTAGTGTTTTGGCAAAGAAAATAAATCCATATTATAATGTTACTACAGAATATTACAGAAGTTAAATCTAGGGTTATTTGAACTTCTGCCATCACACAGAGCTGAATGTTGTGTTTGGAATTTATTTAGATGGAAAGCACATCAAAATCTTTCTGTGATGACACTTCCAAGGAGTGCCTGTGTGCTGTAATAGGGCAAAATTTGTCTGTGTCAAGTGGTTAAGGCAGGCTCCCGTGATCCAGGAGGAGGGTCTTACCTGATTCAGCAGAAATCAGAGTGTTTAGAATTTGAGAAAAACAGATATAGGAAAAATCAGCTTCGTATTGTTATATTCAGGAGAGAAAAAGAGGTTCAGGTATCATCCATGCACCACACACTGTTCTAGACACTATGAGGAACCAAAAATTGTTAATAAGACAGAGTCATTGAATTATGCTTTGAAGATAAGCAAGGGAATGTGTCAGAACAGCACCTACAGCAAGGCAAAATGGTGCAGATGCTTCAAATTAGATAAAAGGCAGACAGTGAACAACAGACTTGCCCAAAGGTGAGCAAGCACTTGTTTGAGTTCCACCAGTTTAGCTCAAGCATATATGAAAGGAAGCAGTATGAACATGGGCACAATCAGGGGTGTATTTAGAGACTTCCATCCCCTTCCTGTGCTGAGATTATAGCATTATTGTATGATTAAATGAGTGCCAGATATTTAATATAAATTTTACAAGTCCTATTATATTACATTACCTTTTCCTCAATTTCATCAGAGGCTTTGTGCTCGCCATCCAGTAGTTCTTGACCAGTCTCAGCAGCAGATTGAAACCGGTCATCGTAAGAGTCAATTTCATGCTGTGGCCAACAGGGG